GGACAGCTTGAGGCTCTGTCTCAAAAAAAAAAAAAAAAAAAGAGTTCTCATATAGGAAAAAATTGTATTTCTAAATTTACCCTTTATTACCTTTTTTTGTTTGCTGTTTTGGCCGGGGCCGGACTTGAACCTATCCACCCCGGTCTATGGGGTTGGTGCTCTACTCCTTGAGCCACAGGCGCTACCTATTACCTTTTTTGTAATATTGTAAAATATGTTCTGCAATTGTTCTGTCATGATGACTGATGTCTTTTGAGCCTCTGTTAATTTTTTGTTGTTGTTGAGACAGGGTCTCACTCGTGCCTGGGCTAGAATACAGTGGCTTGATCATAGCTCAATGTAACCTCAAGCTACTGGGCTCAAACAATCCTCCTGGCTTAGTATCCCAAGTAGCTTGAACTACAAGTTCACCCCATACCTACCTAATTAAATTTTTTTTTCTTATGAGACAGAGTCTCCTGTTGCCCAGGTTAGAGTGCCATGGTGTCAGCATAGGTCACAGCAACCTCAGACTTGTGGGTTCAAGTAATTGTTCTGTCTTAGTCTCCCTAAGTAGCTGCAAATACAGGCACCCACCACAATGTCCAACTAATTTTTCTATTTTTAGTAACGATGGGGGTCTCATTCTTGCTCAGGCTGGTCTCAAACTGCTGAGATCAAGGGATCCTCTCACCTGGGCTTCCTGGAGTTCTAGGATTGTAAGCATGAGCCATTCCACCTGGCCTAAAATGTATTTTTGTAAAGATAGGGTCTTGCTATGTTACCCAGGCTGGTCTTTAATTCCTAACCTCAAGCAGTCCTTCCACATTGGCTTCCTAAAGTTCTGGGATTAGTAGGTGTCTGCCACCTCACCCAGCCATCTGTTAATTTTTTTAATAGCAAAACAGTAAGAACATTTTTTTCATTGTTTCTTTTTTATTGAATCAAGTACACATCTTAATTATACAAGTTACTGAGCCTTTATTAATTTTTATTCTTTGAGGAGAATGTACAAGAAAAGGTTAAAAACTTTAGACAAATGGATACTTTTGTATGTGTATATTTGCATATATTTCCATTTAAAATGTACATTTTTGTTTATTATACATTTTAGACATTATATGCAAAGGCATGTTAAATGTTTCATTCTTTTTGTTCTTCCTATTAGGTATCATAAAAATCTGGCTGCTATAAAGAAAAATAAGTTGCTCCAAAAGGTATGAATAATAAACCTCTGTTCAATCACTGTTATTTAGAAATTGGCTCGGCGCCTGTGGCTCAAGTGGCTAAGGTGCCAGCCACATACACCTAAGGTGGCGGGTTCGAATCCCCAGCCTGGGCCCGCCAAACAACAATCATGGCTGCAACCAAAAAATGGCCAGGCGTTGTGGCGGGCACCTGTAGTCCCAGCTACTTGGGAGGCTGAGGCAGGAGACTTGCTTGAGCCCAGGAGTTGGAGGTTGCTGTGAGCGTGATGCCATGGCACTCTACCCAGGGGGATAGCTTGAGGCTCCATCTCAAAAAAAAAAAAAATTAAGAAATTGAGACAGGTATGGTGTTTTACACCTATCATCCCAGCACATTGGGATTTCAAGGCAGGAAGATCATTTGAACTCAGGGGTTGGAAACCAGCCTGGGCAACATAGCGAGACTCTGTCTCTATAAAAAATTAAAGTATCCAGGCATGGTGATCCTAGCTACTTGGGATGCTAAGGCAGGAGGATCACTTGAGCCTAGGAGTTGGAGGCTGCAGCAAGCTATGATCACACACTTGTACTACAGCTTGGGCAACAGAGCAAGACCCCATCTCTAAAAAATATATAATAAAAACTGAATCTAACTATATAAGACCTGTTGGGAATAAGAAGGAAAGGGAGACTAGGTGATGATAACAATTTTATTTGTTTTCCCTTAGGCAAAGTCGCAGTTTAGTTTCAGCAGCAAAACCTATATAGAGTTCAATCACTATTTGATAACCATGGTTGGTTGCCTGTGGACATCCAAACCTTTTGAGAAAGGAATATATATTGAACCTGAAATCCTGAAAAAAACTGGAGTAGCAGAATATAAAAACAGTTTAAATTTGGTTCATCATCCTTCTCTACTGAGTTATGCTGTTTCCTTTTTGCTACAGGTAAGGATATTTAAATTTTTTAGATTTTATATAGTAATATTTTGATGGCAAAAATATGAAATGTCATAAATTTAGTGTGTTTGAATTGTAAGACATGTTGAGCAATTTTTTTTTTTTGAGCAATTTTTTTAAAGTGTCAAGTAAAGTTCAGTTATTGTCCTGGCATATGGGATTCTGTTAATTTAAGTAAGTTTCTGTCCTCTAAAAGAGCTCAGACTTATAGCAGATAGACTATAAACAAATCACTACAGTACAGTGTGGCAAAATGAAAAAAGGTACAGGTATGAGAAAGATGGGGCAGTAATTAGCTCAGTTCTGCTTAGTTACAGGTGGAGCCAGGTAAACAAAGACTTCATATGAGTATAAACTCTCATAAAATCCTCCTAGACAAGATAGAAAATGTCATCTAGGTACTGTTAGCTGAAGACTGCAGGTTTAATTGATTGATAACAATATGTAGGCCGGTGGTGGGGTGGTGATAGTTGGTGGTGTCTTTTTAGGACTTTATTCTTAGCCCTCTCACTTTTAACATTATCAGTGAATTGGAGAAAAACTCAAATGGTATCCGTCTCAAATGCATGGATGACACAACAGGGTGGGATTACAAATACTATGAAAAATATTTAGATTCATAATTCCCTTGACAGACTTGAACAATGAGAAATTTCACAAAATGAAAAAATAATATACAGGGTAGAGAGATATTCCTTGAATAAATGTTTAACATATGCATACAGTCAACCCAGCAACTGTAGTGAACAAGACACATCTGGGTGTTACATTTGTAAAACTTAGTCTAGTCAGAGAGGCAGTCATTAAACAGGTATCTTAGAAGACACAATGATGAACATTAAAATTGGAAAAATAGGCTCGGCACCTGTAGCTCAAGTGGCTAAGGTGCCAGCCACATACACCTAAGGTGGTGGGTTCGAATCCAGCCCAGGCCCGCCAAAACAACAATGATGGCTGCAACCAAAAAATAGCCAGGCGTTGTGGCGGGTGCCTGTGGTCCCAGCTACTTGGGAGGCTGAGGCAGGAGACTTGCTTGATCCGAGGAGTTGGAGGTTGCTGTGAGCTGTAATGCCATGGCACTCTACCCAGGGGGATAGCTTGAGGCTCTATCTCAAAAAAAAATTGGTAAAATACAGAGGACAGTGAAACAATATAAAGGGGCGCTACGTTTAGGCTTTGCAGAAATGACACATTGAATTTTTGAGCTGATGAACATGAGCTTGCCAAGGCAGGAGCAGAACTTGAGGAATAGTGCAAAGATACAGAGCAAAGGTAGTTATAACAGGCATCCATAAACATTTTTGTAGAGGACCAGATTGTAAATATTTTAGGTTTTGCAGGTCATATGGGCTCTGTTAAGACTACTCACCTTACCATTTTAATGTGAAAACAGTCATAGACAATACATATGTAAACAAATGACCATAGTTATGTTTCAGTAAAAGTTCATATGTGAAAATAGACATTGAGCTGGAGTTGGGCTTTGACTCTTGTGTTAGAGTCTGTCATATTTTAGGAACTTGAAGTAGAATTGTAGGGCTAGAGCAGCATATGATTCTACACTGACTGAGGAGCAGAATTGCCCAGGATCCTTTTCCAAAGTGTACATCCTTGGTTGCTCTTACCCAGAGACTCTGATTTAATAACTAGGGTGGCATTCAGGATCATCTTTTTAAATATAATAGCTCTGATACAAAACAAGGTTAGAGCTTTTCACCCTGTGAAGCCTTCTACCATGTTATGACACAGCACCAGAAGCCAACCAGATGCAGATACCTGATCTTGAACTTCCAGCCTCCAGAACTGTACTAAGTACAAGTCTTTTATGTATAAATTGCCCAATCTCAGGTATTCCATTATAGCAACAGAACACTGCCTAGCCCATCACCTATTCTAGTGGGTTGTCTACTTTTCCTATTAACTTTAGCATATTCTTCATAGTTATTTTAAATTTTTGGTCTCATAGTTCCAAAATGTGTTGTCGTCTGTGACAGATTCTGTTTCTTGCATCTTCTCTTCAGGGTTTTTTTTTCCTTCTTGCTTGCTTTCTAGCCTGCTTCATAGTTTTTTTGTTGTTGAAAACCAGACATGACATATTGAGTAATAGAAACTGAGATAAATTGGTCTTTATTGTGAGAGATTATGTTCATGTGAGTAGGAGTTGTACTACATTTATTAAAGATGAAACAATATTATACTTGGGTACTTAGAATGATGTATTATTTTTAATAAAGTTGTATTTTATAATTTTATTATTCACCGTATGGTATTTTTTATGTGCAACATCGATATGCTTGATAAAATTAATACTAGTCTAGTCAGGGTATAATATAATTTGCTGTAATTATAGGTATCAGAAACTTGTCTTTTTCTAGAGTTCTTGTATTTGTATATTTTGTTATCTTTAGGTTTTCATAGAAACTCTTGCTTGAATAGGGTCTGAGCTTTGCAGTTCTGTTAACTGTAATATTCTGTCTTACAGAAGCTTTGTGAATTCAGTGAAGGGGAGCATTCCATAGTTGTATGATTAAATCTCAGTCTTTTAGTAGGCCTGTGCCCTTGTGATATGATCTAGTTAACTTCACATAACATGTTTTATTATTATATAGGAGTACATAGTCACACTTGAAAGGCTAAAAAATAATATGAAAGTAAAATTTATAAAGAGAAAATTAAAAGCCACTGGGATAGTCTATAGCATGGTAAGAGATGAGGTTTTGAAATTCAGTCAAAGATCAGATACTGAAAAAAGTAATATATAGGCCTCCAAAAACATATTGATTGATTTCAATATTTGAATAAAGATTATGTTTTTTAGGCTTGGCGCCTGTGGCTCAAGTGACTAAGGCACCAGCCACATACACCTGAGCTGACAGGTTCAAATCCAGCCCAGGCCCGCCAAACGACAGCGGCAACTAAAAAACAGCTGGGCCTTGTGGCAGGCGCCTATAGTCCCAGCTCCTTGGGGAGGCGGAGGCAGGAGAATTGCTTAAGCCCAGGAGTTAGAGGTTGCTATGAACTATGATGCCAGGACGACAGCTTGAGGTTCTGTCTCAAAAAAAAAAAAAAAAAAAAGATTAAGGTTTTTAACTACATAGAAGAATTTCAGAAGCAGTATACTTTAGTGATCTTTTTTATTAAATCATAGCTTTGTATATTAATGCAATCATGAGGTTGAACTGGAAGCTGTTCTAATGATTAACTATGAAGTTACCATTTGATTCAGCATTCCCACTCCTAAGTATACATACACGCCCAAAAAAAAAGAAAACAGATCCACACAGTATGGGAAAGCAGCAGCAGAAAAAGCAGGCGACAGAAACACACAAAAACTTCAGATATTGTGCTCATTTTATATACAATTTGAAATATTTTCTTTTTTTTCTTTTATTTTTTTTGAGACAGAGCCTCAAGCTATCCTCCTGGGTAGAGTGCCATGGCATTACAGCTCACAGCAACCTCCAACTCCTGGGCTCAAGCGAGTCTCCTGCCTCAGCCTCCCAAGTATCTGGGACTACAGGCACCTGCCACAACGCCCGGCTATTTTTTTTGTTGCAGTTTGGCCAGGGCCGGGTTTGAACCCACCACCCTCAGTATAGGGGGCTGGTTCCCTATTCACTGAGCAACAGGTGCCACCCTAGTGATTTTTTTTTATATTCCTTTTTTCTCTTTTTCTTGCCTTCATAATAATTTGATTTATCATAGAGTATAAAAAACCCTGTTTTAAATTAGCAACATTAATGTTACTGTTAATATGAGGTTACTTAGTGAAACTTAAAATATTTTCAGTTCTTCCCTCTATCCCCCCAGACTAAATCCTTCTAAAAATGTACACAATATACACTCTATTTTACATGCTGTTAGGTACATTTATTTCAGTCTGTTTTCATGTTTTAGAGATTGCTTTTTTTCTTTTAGATTTAATTTTATTCTTAAAATATATAAATCATTTATATGATTTCAAATTCTGAACTATGAAAATCTCCTTTTTTATTCTTGCCTCCTCTACCTATATTCTGCCTTGAGGTAGCCACTTTTATTACTTTTTGTTTTTCCTATCCAATGCTTCCTTTATTTAAACTTAATAAATTTTGTTTATAATGTGTATCTGATAATTACAATAGCTGAAGTATTTGTGTGTTTCTGTTGCCTGCTTTTTCTGCTGCTGCTTTTCCATACTGTGTGGATGTGTTTTCTTTTTTGTGTGCATGTATGTATACTTAGGAGTGGGAATGCTGAATCAAATGGCAACTCCATATTTAACCATTAGAATAGCTTCCAGACTGTTTTCCAAAGTAATTCCACCATTTTACATTCCCTCAAGCAGTATGTGAGGGGTCCATTTTGTTCACATATTTTTCAACACTTGTTATCTGTTTTTGTCATTCTAACCATCATAGAAGTGTGAAGTGGTATTTCATTGTAGTATTGATTTGCATTTCGATAGCTGTTGGTATTCAACATCTTTTGATGTGCTTATTGACCATTGTATATTTTTTTGAGAAATATCTATTCAGATCCTTTGCTTAATTTTTAATGAGATTATTTGACTTTTTATTACTGAGTTGTAAGTATTCTTTCTGTATTCGATAGAAAGAAACTTTCACAAATCATATTCCAAATATATGATTTGTGAAAGTTTTCCCTTATTCTGTAAGTTGTCTTTTCACTTTATTGTTTTTTTTTCTTGAGACAGAGCCTCAAGCTGTCCCCTGGGTAGAGTGCCATGGCATTACAGCTCACAGCAACCTCCAACTCCTGGGCTCAAGCGAGTCTCCTGCCTCCGCCTCCCAAGTAGC